ATATTCAGCAACACATTTCTTCTCTATGGATGTAACCGTGTAACTTTCTAACTATTGCTAGTAATTAAATAACCATGGCAACGCAGTACTTTCCCCTCGAGATAATTGTAACTAAAAGCAGCAAATTTTTGGGACAAATAATAAAATGAATCATTGTGTAAATTTCGTGCCACTCTGAAAACTTTTCTACAAACTGTAGCTGCTGAAATTGTTATTAATAATAAATATTGTAAAATCAGTATGAAATTGGCAGTATACCACTTAGACACAAATAATTTGAATATTTTACCTCTATCCAATTATTTTTTTCTTCTTCTGTACTTGCTTGAAATTCAACCACCTTTTGTCTGGCGCTGATGCAGAACGTTCTCTCGGCATCAGCGATGTCTTTAACAACCATACCACTTAGATCCAGTCTGGCCCTCACTTTGTGTTTGGCGGTAGTCATCAGTTTATTATGGATGCTACAACATAGTAGGATATCATTGAACTGTGGAGGAAAAAATGAAATTCTTTTTATTCGGTTTTGTTTTCTAATATCGAATGTGAGTTGTAGTATGTGGTAACAGTTTGTCACAAAAGTTGTGTTCATAGATAGTCATGTGAAAATTGTATTCTACACTTTTTTTTATATTCTTCAATATTTCTGGAAATGAACCTTAATTTTGGAGTCAACAGACAAAATTTGAGTCCATTTTCAGTTTTTACTCAAACAATTTGGTTATTTCTGTCCCAATCTTCTGAAGGAGTGAAAATTATAAACAGAACTATTTTGTGAATTTGTGATAAATAAAGGAAACTGTTGGTGAAAAGGTTTACTATACTACATGCTACATCTGGTATTGGCCACAATGACCATTTTATTACAATTCAGTCAGTTTATAATTCTTTGAATACATGAGAGTAATCTTGGATTCAATCATCAATTTTGGATAAGTTAACAAACACAACAAAAAAATGTTTTTGGTACAAATTTTTTTTGGGGGTAAAATAATTTGATAGCGCACAATTTTAATCATTTAATCAATTCATCACCAGAGGGAGCTGCGCAGTAGTGAAATTGGTAAATAAAAATTGATTGGATCACTCTTTTTCGGAGGTACACACTGAGACAAAAAAAACACATTTTTTTTTTATGTTATGTCTAGAAAGTTCTATATAAATGCATAAATATAGTAGTAGTACCCAAGTTATAGTAATTATATGCAAATTATACAGCAAGGAAACACATTGTAGGTGATTAATTGCAAATTATAAAAACAAAGAACCATGTACAGTAAATGTTAATTAACCACTTGCTATAATACATATAATTGCATTATGTATCTATTTTAACCACTTTTTATGGTAATTATATGCAAATTTGGCCACAGTGTAACATTTCAGTTTATTGATAAATGGTCTTGACTGTCAGCCAGATTATTAAAAGACTCATATAGACAAGTTATGTAAAGAAAGAGAGTTACCAGATAAAGATATCTTTCTTGAGACTCTCCTCTTCTGGCTGATAGTTTTATTATCTTGCCGTCTTTCAAGAGTTCTCTATTTGCTTCAATCAAGTTCTTAGCACCAATAATTGCCGACTGTATTACCATTAACCTGTTAAACTTTTCCTGCGAATGAATGAGAATTTTCATTATTGGAAAGCAGTGTCTGAAAAACAGAGCTAATTAAATGGCCAGACACAGTTTTTTTTGTATTATAAAAAGATCATTAATATGGGGTACTGGCTAATAAAGATGTATTTATTATCAGAGATTCCAGAATCCTGAAGAAGGGGGGGGGGTTACTCCAATTCTACTAAACTCTTTGAGCACCATATCTAACTTTCTGCCAATAATTTGATTAAATAATTGGAAAATTATAATTTATATAATTTATTTGTTTTAACTTTGGACCAACAGATGTAATTTTCTTTGGAAATGAATTTTGATCAAAATTTGAAAATATGGAACAAAATCAAGACTGATTTTGTGAATAATGAGAAAAGTTTGATTAGCCATAATATAGGCTCAAAGGGTTTTAATCTCCTCCAAAGATACTGTAATATTTAGTGTTCACTAGAACAGAAACAGCATAGCTTGTTATTCACACTGACAGAACAATTTTCTTCATACTTGGATTGACCTGGCAAGTGTATGTATCCTTTTGCTTCACTGTTGAGCAGCTGATAACAAGTACAAACCAACAAACTCCTTGGTGCTCAGCGGACATACCATCCTGACACACATCATGTGGTTAATGACTAAATGACAAAAAAAATCACTTACCAGCTTCTTCATTTCATTGTTAGATTTCATTGTAGCCTTAGATATCTTTTCGAGCGCATCTATTAAATAAACCGTACACATAAATTAACCGAGCATCCAGTAACCAGCAAATATTAGTTTATTCAAACCACGTTCTCTGCTTATGTATGTAATTGAGTTAATCCTATATCCTGCTTCCAAGAATCCCATTATTAAAAATGGCCAATTTGATAAGATTGAAATGTGATTAACAAATTAATAATAACAAAAAAAAATTTCAAATGTGCAAAATGTAATACATCTATCTCTCAAAGTTATTTTGTGAAATATTTACAATAATCTTTTCACTTATGACCTCTCATCAATATACCAGACTAAAAAGCCTGCTTCACTCAACTTTCACTCAAACCCTTGTGTATTGACAAGACCTTTTCCCAAATATTGAAGAATATATTAAAAAAAAAAGGCAGACAAATTTGGACGAGAAAGTCTGGTTGTGAAAAGGTTAAGATAAAGACAACATACCCTCAGTGGCTTTGATGTCATCAGAGTCCTCAGGAAGACTTTTCAGATATTCTAAAAAGAGAAACACAAAGATCAGATAGATAAAAAAAGAGGAAAAGTTTTGCTTTCACATATGGTAAGAAATGCAGACAGGTTTCACTGTACCAGTCCATTTGGTGTTCAGTTTAGACAGGTTTCACTGTATCAATCAATTATGTTGTTCACTTTAAACAGGTTTACTGTATCAGTCCATTTGGTGTTCAGTTTAGACAGGTTTATCGTATCAGTCCATTTGGTGTTCAGTTTAGACAGGTTTCAATGTATCAGTCTATTTGGTGTTCATTTTAGACAGGTTTACTGTATCGTCCATTTGGTTTCAGTTCAGACAGG